GCCCGAACCTTATGTCTAGCCCTCAGAGTAGTATCATGAACCATGACATGCGAATATTCAAATTTCAAGAGTGACCTTCAACCAATCTGTTAAGTCAAGTCTGGAATGACATGCCTCTACAACATTCACTTCAAAGAAGTTATAACAAAAGGGGTTCCACATGAGTGCCTAGGATCGTCGCTCGAGTAGCTTGTGGTGTCAAGCGCAACTCGAAGTATGTCCTTATTTTGGCAACCCCAAAAAATATTGGTCTTCTCATTACATTCAGGATTCTAGAGAGAAGTCGCGCCACCCTTTTGTCTACTTGCGAGGTATTGTATTTGAAACCAACAACAATTGATCCTCTATTTGGTTTTGCAATATTTGCAATTGTCCCTGGATTGGTACGTGCTGCCGCAATTCCCGGGTCTATTGTTGTTGCAGATCTAGGTGGAATGATTATCAAATTCATAAAGGTAGAGAAATGGAAAGAGACATTTATAGTTGAAACAACAACAAAACTAGGAGCGGGAGATAAAGGAAGGACAGTGGTTGCAAAACAACCATTTCGTCAAAACGGACATATTAATGATATTATATTTTTTGAACGAAATTCAAATTGAGTTTTTGGGCCGAAATCTGGTCCAAATTTTTGACTCCAAGGGGTTCGACGTTCTGCGACTAGATACATCTAGGGGGTCTGACGTTCTAGGAACGCCGGGCCCCCTGGAGCCAAACTTTGGACCGGATTTCGACCCAAAACTTGATTTTAATTTCGTTTAAAAAATATAATATGTCCGTTTTGACGAAATGACTGTTGCAAGAGCTTGTTGCAGATCTGCAATTTTCTGCAAGTAGTTACGATGTTCCTTGACCACCCCCTCCACAGACCACGACATCCTACGATTTTTTCACTTCATCAAATGAGTGGGATACTAGGTTAGGGAGGTATTCAAACGACCAAACGTCAACTAAGGTTCTAATGTAAATGATCGCCATTTCCTCATTTTCTTCATCAGTTAGTGGGGAAATCGTTTTAAGGACAACCTTATAGGCAACAAGGACATTTCTCCTTTTGCTCTTCCTCGCTCCCTTCTCCTTTTTTGGTGCTATTTTACAAAGCCCTCAATAATTTGTTTTCTTATTCATATGCCCCATCAAGCAAAGTCTTGAATTGCTCAGAGGTCAATGTCATCTTAGACTCATTGCTGTAGTTAAAACTCTCACCATCAGCGGATTGGTCAAAGAGTCATAGACCGGAGAAAAATTCAATAAAACTCTTAAGGTAAGTACTCTCTTCTTTTTCTTTGGACAAACACTTCTCTTTCCTGTCCTCACTCCCTTAAGAAATATTTTTTTTCTCTTCCTCTCCTTTTCTCTTTCCTGAAACCGAGTCATTACAAGCATAGGAACAAACCTTTAACGAAGAGTCAATTATAGTACAAATGAAGAAATAATAGAACTCCTACCTGCAACAACATTTAATTTAGACTAGAGACTTACACAACAACAACAATAATAGTAGAGGTCTGATTTGATGAATGGGTACGGTCAGATCACGCTGAGATCTAATATCAAAGAGAAACAGATAAATCAACTTCTGGAAATATAAGCAGATAAGGTATTGGGGACTTAAAGGAGTAGACAATTGCAAGTCAGGAGACAAACGTTAGTGTTAGGATTTGTGGAAGCCTCGCCGAAAGAAGTTTTGAAGAACACTGTCAAGGTTTACTGGATAGTCAATGGTCCATCATAGAAATGCCTTACTGGTATAAGGCCTGGTAACACGCAAGTTTCTTTCTGAAAGGGCTATGGTCCTACTAGGTACCAATGCCCTCAGGCAGACCGACAACCCTGAACTATTTCCAAAGGAAATAAATTCTTACTCCAGGAGAAAAGAATTGCACTATGCATCTCAAACCCAGCCCGGACCTTCTGAAAGGAAAAGTCAAAGCATTAGATGGTCCTCAGTACCAAAGTCAGATACAAATATGAAAGCAATGCCGAAAAAACTAACATTGCAATCAAGATATTTCACATTCATTTATCCATCCGGTGAGAAATCAGTCCACAAACGCATCAACGTCAACCAGGATCACGGGGAGTAGAAAAAGAACCCATCACGCCCACAAAGTAATGTTGCGCTATGCATTCAACCATGACCATCCCCCGACTACACTAAACTTGTGTTAGTCGGACTTTTGAGATAAAAAACAACTTATCTCTCCCTTGGACATGTCATCCTAACCCATTTGACAAACTTTACTCAAGTGTACCTATACCTAGGAGAATTTACATCAATTTCAAATCAAATCATTGTGTCTGACATTGATGTTGGAGAGTAGTCAGCAACTTCTAGTTATACAGTGCAGCCAACGCTACTTCACCACCAAGTATGCCTTCTTGGAGAGAATCCCGTGGTTTCTCAATGACCTCCTCATGCTTAGAGTCCAAGTGTGAGTCATCAAAACTAAGTGGTAAGGTTCAAATCAGCGGATACTGACCGTGTGGGACCAGTAATCACTTAACATGGATAGGGTCAATGTCAACTCTACATGCCATAGTCCAGGTGGGGGTAGCTCAAAGATCTGCATACCTCGCCACCTCACTTTCCTACTGAACCTACCCTAATCCACGTTTATTTTCCCTAATCAACTCGGCCCGCTCAGCATTTTGTACCCGTAGAAAGAAGATCGATTAAAGTATGAGGTGTGGTTGAGGATTTTGGGGCAAAACTAGAATTTCCTGTGTAAGTTTGAAAGGCATCTTTGCGAAGAAAGAAAACAAATATAAAGTTGGACTAACGTCCGTCCTCCTTGTCCCTAACCGGTTGGATCCAAAGGGTATGTGTTTCCGCAAGGTACGGATCGTAGTTCATCACAAGAACGCCAAAAAAACACCAACTCAGCCTTTATTCTAGAAAATTTGACCACCACTTTTTCATGGCCCCGAGGCCAATTCCTCAAGTAAGTGCTTCGATGAATCGACTGAGCTCCAGAAACTTCATAAAACAATGGTAATCGATCATTCTGAGTTGGATAAGTTTACTTATTTTAAGTGATTTATATTGGAGTGGCCAGTAGTGTGTTGCATCTCATCCCTTGGTACTACCATCTTATGGCAAAGGATGAGTTGGTTATGAGAGACAGATGTTAGGGATAATTGGTGAAAACGTCCCACGTGAACCTTTTTGGCTTTTTCCCTTGGTACTACCATCTTATGGCAAAGGATGAGTTGGTTCTGAGAGACAGATGTCAGGGATAATTGGTTAAAACCTCCCATGCAAGAACCTTTTTGTTTGTTCTTTTTTTCCCAAAAAGTAAGCACCCAAACTTCTTTTCTTTTTCTTTTTCTCTCACCTATTTCATCTTTCTTGGTAGCACGCATCTATCTCGTCTTCTCACTAGACTAAGTCTAGTACGCATCTATCTCGTCCTCTCACTAGACTAAGTCTATGTATAGTAGAGGGGAGTACAGGGGAACACCAACCAACCCGGATCTCCCCCCAGCCCACAGGGTAGGTTGGCACCACAGCTGTGGTGCGAGAGCAAGGTTGTGCCAGTCCCTCGTCACGGTGTCGAGGGGTGGGCAGGCATTGCCAATAGGGGAAATCGGCGGTGCTAGCGCCGAGCAATGGCCAGTCACTGCACCTCCCCCTACCCCCCCTCGAACCCCACATTGCGGTGTCTCATGGCCAATATTGTCGCTGCATAGCAGCCAACAACATCAGGCTGCCAAGGTACTGCCCATGCTGGTTTTGGGGGCCAATGGGTTATCTCTAGCTGGTAGAACACCAAGCTTGCCCAGGCACATATGTGAGGCGAGTGGGGATTGAACGCACGACCTCCTGAATGCAACAGTTACTTCTGTGCCTTTCCAACTGAGCTCAACTTGTCCCATTTGGCAAGAAGGTCCCACCGGAAACTGAGTCTGCGCAAATACAACTCCAGATTAATAATCCGGTAGGAAGAGCCAATAGAGGCCCGGGACCCAACCTCCGAGTCGGCTGCCAGATTTTACAACCAGCGGCCTCCTTTTTTTTTTCTTTTTTTTTTTTGGCTCGTCTTGCGAAACGGGGAAAAAGTTTAGGGGCGGAGAACCAGAAAGGTCTACCAATTTTCCCCAGATGTTAGCTGCTCGAACTGACTCATCGTCTTCCCCCGAATACAACGCACGGTCATCATACCTGTATGTAGACTGAAAGATGCCCCCAATAGGGCCAATACACCAATAATGACCGTGCGTTGTATTCCGGGGAAGAAGGTAGCATGCTTCAATCGGGAGGGGAAGGGGTGCACAAACCAGCCCGTGGTGGTCCTTCGCCTCTCGCGTGGTCCTGTGTGCGCGCCTCTTTTGTCCGTTTTGGTAATCTTCTGTGGTCCCCACTCCTTCCAGGGAAGAACCTGGCTCAAGGGCACGTAGGCGACGTCGTGTTGCAACCCGGCAGCCACGTCAGTGTCGTCCCGTCTTTGTCTGCCAAAACAAAACAGGTCTGCCAGAAAGGGGCGGGAAGGGCAACGAGGTTAGCTTACGACCGTCTTCCCCCGAACATAACGCACCCTGCAAAGGAAAGTATACAAGGTATGTTTCCGGCCAGATACAGCCAAAATGAGGGTGCGTTGTGTTCGTGGGAAGACGGTAGTCGGTAACACCCATGAACTGTTGAAATGCGCAACTGAGTTCAAATCCTGACTTATGGACCTACGGATGGGAAGGTCAAGGTCACATTTGACCTTCGGTACCGAAACGGGGAGTTGACCGTTGACCGTTGCGTGCATCTCCCTGACCCGCGCGGACGTTGGCGTCAATAGTATCAGCCAGCCAGTTAACCCCTCTTCAACGAGGGGAAAAAGCGGTACGGCATACCCGACGAGGCGACAGTGCAGCAGAGCAAACTGGGCGGACGGAAAGGGCGCGAGGGGTTCGTCTTTCCCGGAGGATTTTTCTTTTTTTTTTCTTTCTCTTTTTGAGGGAAAACACTCGTTCTGGCTAGTGTGTTCGATTGAGTATAAAGCCGAGGTAGACGACGACAGCGTCAAGTTGTGTGCACTCAATTCCGGGCGAGAGGTTGAAGGTGATTGTGGAGGCGTGTTGTGCGGGCGGGAGAGTCGTCGTTTCTTTCTCTTCCCGCCGGTTTAACGACGGATACAGCGGAGTCGTTGCCTGCAGCGGGTTCTCGAGCTGAATGTGGTAGGCTGGTACTGGCCAGTTAGCCTTTATGAACAACCATAGCTAGACAACATACATTTGCGAGGTGAAGGCACTGAAGGGTGATAGGGCGGCGAAACTTGCGCTGGTGCGGTTGTGGCCCTTGAAGGGTGATAGGGCGGCGGAACTTGCGCTGGTGCGGTTGTGGCCCTTGAGGGATCGAGGATCGAGTGCGTGGGAACTCGTCGCTGACGTGGGGAGGGAGCTGGGAGACGGCGGCGTACGCAGCCGCAGCTGGTATGGTGGGGGGACTTCAGAACTTGTCGTCAAGGTGAGAGCTGTACATCGAGGTGCAGGACCGGTTGACCAGGAAGTGGAGATAAGGAGAGAGAAGAAGAGCGACTCGCCATCACCATCGTGAAACTGAGGTCGATAGGGTATCAGCTATTTGGCTATCCTTGATTGGTGCCAAGGTTACGCCGTTACGGTGACCTCGAATCCAGGGCCGCATCTCAGTTTGCCTGTTCATCTAAGGAAGAATTGTCTGTGCAGATCGATCTGTAGTCCACGTCCAGAAGAGTGTGTGGGAGTGTACTTAGTCGGTGATTGTTACGTTGTAAGTAGTCATCATGGCTCTGTTCGAGATCTTTATAGCGACGATGTTGTTCTTCCTGATGATTGCAAATCCGATCGTCTGGTTCCTAGCTGTGTTTTGCGGGCCGCCAATGGCCTGTCTGGGTTGCTTCATAAGTCCTATAATGCTTGTTGTCGCGCCTTTCTTGGTGCCGCTTCGACTACTGCTTAGCCCAGTCATAATATAGTTTTTGGTGCCGCTTGATTACTGCTTAGCCCAGTCGTAATATAGCTTGAATTGCCACGCTGCTCGTGTGGGATGATCTTGTCGTATCTACCTGAGAGCCGGAGTCGCCATGTATCGTCAAGATCCAGACTGGTGTGTCGGTCAGCCCACGACCATCGTTGCTACGTACGATGGGTTGTGTTCTTTTGGCCCAGGAGTGCAGCCAGGAGTGGCAGTCTACGTCTCCATAGCGATTGACTTGCAGAGCTTGACAAAGGCGGGCGCACGGGGCAGCAGAGAATCAAAAGGGTGGCAGTGGGCAGGAGAGAATGACAAGGACGCAGGTAGGGTTTGCCCGCAGGATGAAGAGTGAAGATGTTTGTATGACTCTGTAGCTTCCGATGTTGTCGACCTTTCGCGGGGTTCGATCATGGAATCTCTTTATTATGATTCTTCCTCATTATGGGGTCCTCTCTCACGAATGCGCTGTTTGGGAGATCATATGCTCATGTATTTTGTACGAGAGTGACGGGTAATGAGGGAAAGATGGTGGTGGCAGGAACATCCCACCCAGAGCACTGAGAGGAGTGTGCAAATTTTTTTCGGAGACGGAAAATATGTAGTACGTTCAACGTTGCACACTTTGTTCGCGCGCGAATAGGTGACTTCCATTTGCGAAGGCAAGTCTGGGTAATATGTATAATATAATAGTGTCTCTTAAGTGGTTCGATTTGGCGTCAAATGTCGACATGGCAGCAGATGTCGACATGGCAGAATGTCGCACTGAGTCACTGCCAGATGTAGGGATTTAGCGAGTTGTCCGTGGTATGTTCAGGTCGAGAAGAGATTCACTGTCGAGAAGAGGACATATCGACATGTATATGGACTTAGCGTGTTGCCAGTGGTATGTTTAGGTCGAGAAGAGATTTACTGCCTACAATTCAACAGATATTGACACGTGTAACTACGGCGTTCTGAGGGAACGTAGTTGGCCGGATTTGTGGCATCTATAAGTCGGGTGTCGGTCTCGTTGCCTGTCATCGGTTGGCATTGAACCTATCGTCGGTATTGTCGGCCACTGCTCAATTAATCGTTGGCGACTGAGCGCCACTTGGGTGAATTTCGTTCGGTCAATCGTCGCTTGCGTGGCTGTCCAAGGCATTCTTTTAAATGTAAACTGTTGGCGGCCAGCGATTGGTCTGGACGACCATACGTATATCACGGTATATGGAAGGACATGGAAGGACGTAGGACATGCATTCTGTTAGGTGTTTAATTGAGGTCGGTGGGGTGTCGGAGGCGGGTTGTCGGAGACGGGACTGGTGGTGGCGGGCAGTGATTTGTGTGGATTAGTGTACGCATATGGAAGTACATGCATTCTTTTAGGTGTGTAAAGTAAGGCTAAGGTTGGGGTTGTCGGAGTTGTCGGAGTAGTCGGGGACTGGAAAATATGTCGTCTTCTGGTCTTACCAACGACTACTGGAAGGATGTCTTGCTGCAGAAAGTATCATTTAATTGTCTGTAAACAGTCTGCTTGCGTTCCGGCTCTCTCTCAGGTGTGTGGTGAGTCTGGAAAATTATGGAATTGGATGATGTGGCTCTTTTGGCCGGTCAGAAAGATAGGAAATGAGTGGGAACTTGTTCAAGTTCTCTAGCTTTGTAGTTGGTTAAAATGGCCAATGAAACATTATGTTTATCGACTTCGTCGAGTTGAATATCCTTCAACTCTTACTGTGATTGCAAGTGAGCGAAATCTCTGGCAAATGGTCGGGATACAACGGAACAGCGGCTGGGCAGGTAGATCATGATTGTGTGCTATACCTAGCTTTTGACTGTCGTACCTCAAAGAACGGGCAATGCCCATCGCAGGAAGGTGGACGTGATGGCTGTGCTATGCGTGTGTGCTTTTCGAAATCAAAATGAAGAGTTTCTATTGTGTGTTTTTTGCGTCGAGTTCGCTACTTGTATAGTTGGAGAACTGTCTAGCTACCAGCGATGGTTGAGTTCGCTCCTCCTCGTTAACTATACTGAGTACCGTCTTCAGCCGAATATAATGCCCGGTCATTTTAGCTGTATTTGGCACGACTTTAAGTTGCATGTGTTGTGACAAACATGCTTCATGTATTGTGACAAATATGCTTGCATAGTGTTTGTATTGTGACAAATAGGCCTGAAAGTTTTTGCCTGCAAAGTTGCGTGTGTTGTGACAAATATGCATGGCTGCAAAGTTGAATGTATTGTGACAAATATGCCTGCAAATTTGTATGTGTTGTGACAAACATGCTTTGCATTGTTGTGACAAATATGCCTGCATAGTTTTTGTATTGTTACATATAGGCCTGAAAGTCTTTGCCTGCAAAGTTGCGTGTGTTGTGACAAGTATGCTTTGCATGTTTTGTGACAAATATGCCTGCATAGTTTTTGTATTGTTACATAAGGCCTGAAAGTTTTTGCCTGCGAAGTTGCGTGTGTTGTGACAAATATGCCTGCGAAGTGGCATGTTTTGTGACAAATGTGACAGACTTTGTCGCATTTCTTCAATGCGGACATGTTTTGTGACAAATATGCCTGCATAGTTTATGATTGTGACAAATTGGCCTGAAAATTTTTGCCTGCAAAGTTGCGTGTGTTGTGACAAATATGCCTGCGAAGAGGCGCATGGTTTGTGACTAATATGCTTGCGAAGTGGCATGTATTGTAAGTTGTTAACATATGCCTGCAAAGATGCAGAAATATCGTTTCAAAAGTTGCTGAGATTCTTTAAAAAAAAAATAATAAAAAATTGGTGAGTAGTTTACGGGGAGTCTGTCTTTCAGGGCAAATACACCGGCGGTACCTCGTTTTGCATGCAACAGAGGACCCGCCTGCCTTGGAGTGCTTGCCCCCAGGCCCCAGGCCAGCCGGACGGGTCTTTGTCATGAAAGGAGGGGTCGCCCGGTGAATTTGTTTCGCAAGTTTGCGAGAAGGGTATTTCTGAAAAAAGGAATTCTGTGAACTTTCTAGGCATATTCGGGGCCATATAGGGGCGGACCGTTGAACTTGCTACGATGCTTCTCCATACCCGGTCTGGTATTTCTGGAATTGGGTAGACTTTCGTTCTTATGACCTATTTGCGTTGGTCTCTGCCGATGCTGATGGGCTCCGTTTCTCTGCCTATGATAGTGGTGTTCAATGTTCATGCTTTTTCCTAAGCATATGGTTTTTTTTTTTCGGTTCCTAAATGGGACCTTCGCAATCTGTTTATAGGACCTTCCTCAGAACATAACGCAGGTGAACGAACAGTGATGATGGAATGAATGTGTAGAACGTCTTTCGCGCCTCGTCCAGTCGTTTTGAGGGCACGGTGTCTTCGAGGAAGGCCCTGCAATTTTGTCCATTCATGCCTTGCTTAGTATGCTTACGCATTCTGTTCCCTTCGTCTTTAGTACCTGAGTAGGCGTTCTATTCGGCTGAAGACGTTGGACAAACCATGAGTCAAGCTAACAGTGTCCATTCAGTTATCCTGCATCTGCTTATGGTAATGAGATTCTCAGTTACTGTAGCTGTCTGCGTCTTCTGGAGTATTGTTCACTGAGTCATTGACCGCGTAGCTGGTTGGTGCTCTGTAACAGCAAATGGCCGCCTGAGAATGCAACCAGTATGTGCCCGATCGTTGCAGTGAGAAAATACCATTAAAATTTGGACCATCTCTCGATTTATGCGTGTCATCCTTGCGCAGGGGCCATGGAAAAAAAAAAAAACAAAAAAAAAAACCAGTAATGCGTATAATGGTGGCAGACGAGCAGCCAGCATAGCTGTGCGGATGGAGACAGAGGCGGTGTACTTTTGCTGTGAGCGATAGCTACACTGACTGCTCTTACTGCTGCATCTCTCGTTTTGGGCCTTGCTCGACTACTTTCGACATGGGAAAAAAGACAAAAACTATGGCGGCGTATCTTTCCATGTTCTAGTGGAAGATTCAACTCTCGTTTTGCACATGTCGAGAGTAGTGGAGAGAGGCCCAATCTCTCCTTGAATCTCTTTTCGAGTCCCCGCTTGAATCTCTGGTCGAGTCTCTGCTCTTGGATCGCTGCCCCTGGAATCTCTGCTCTCAGATGTCTTCTCTTGAATCTCTGCCCTCGAATCTCGGATCTCTGTACTTGAATCTCTGCCCCCGAATCTCGGATTTCTGTACTTGAATCTCTGCCCTCGAATTTGATCTCTGCCCCTCGAATCTCTGCTCTCAAATCACTGTACTTGAATCTCTGCCCTCGAATTTGATCTCTGCCCCTCGAATGTCTGCTCTCGGATCTCTGTACTTGAATCTCTGCCCTCGAATTTGATCTCTGCCCCTCGAATCTCTGCTCGCAGATGTCTGTACCTGAATCTCGGCCCTCGAATTTGATCTCTGCCCCTCGAATCTCAGTTCTCAAATGTCTGTACTTGAATCTCTGCTCTCTAAACTCTGCTTGAGTCCCTGATTGAATCTGTGCTGTAATCTGTGCTGTAATCGGTGCTCGAGTCTCTGGATGAATCTCTGCGTGACAGCCACAGGGACTGTCATATGAACCGCTATTGGAAATGATAAGACAGAACATCTGAGGGAAGAACCTGGCTGAGATATTGATGGAAATTCATGCAATACTCCTTGCTATGCAGATCCGGAAGTGGGATATCATGGCTATGATTGATTGGCAGAGGATTGACATCTGTGCTTCCCTTAGAGAACGAGGGAAAACCAGGCGTCAGTGAGCTGAAAGGTGACCAGGTCAGGCAGGGAGAGCAGGTGGACATTTTTGTGGCAAAAAAGGGAGGGAGGGAGGGAGGGAGGGAGGGGGGGGGGAAGAGGTTTGGCGCCTTAAACCACCCCACCAGTACTTGGCCCAGCTATCGATGCGGAGCCAAGAAACATCCTGCACGCCAAGTTTTGCCGAACCGCCAGCGCGGCGTTTTTTTTGTTTTTGTTTTGGCTGGCGCCTCCAGCCTTTGTGTTCCGGTACCCGGAAGCGCATGGGCGTCGGTGCATTAACGGCTAAGTCCTGCGACGGATACTGGTGGTTTAAGAGAACGGGGACTTGCAAAAAAAAAAAAGCAGGGCTTGTGCCAGCCGGTCGTGACTTGAATCTCCACCAGATTCTCTTTTGTAGTATTTTGTTCCAGCTTCGATGGATTTGACGTCCTGAAAGACAAATGACATTTATGGCTAACTTAACCTCAGCGTTAACCTGAGACTTGCCTGGTTTGGTTAGTTGTGCTATGTTACCTGCTGCTGTCCATCCCCCTCAGCCTGCAAGGGCCTTTCTTAGTCATTCTTCAACTCCTGCAGTCCTTCACATCCCCCCCTGCTCATCCACCAGGTTGCTGCTACTCACCAGCCAGCAATTTTCTATTTTTATTATTATTATTATTATCAGGGTTGTTAGGCCGAACGTACGGAGGCCCCTAAGCTGACCCCCGAACATTCGGGCGTTCGGGTCCCCGTACGGAGCCCGAACCTGAAGGGGTTTGGACCCCACAAAAAATTATTTCGGCACCTAAATATTATTATGTTATACTGAAATTGTTTTTGTAAGTTCTTTGTGATGTAAGGTATGTCCCTCTTAATTTTGAAGCTATTCTGTTCATCCAAAAAAAAATGAAAAATTGGCAAAGATGGTGGTGTCAAAACTTGCTTGCCCACTCACTAATTTATTTTTTCTTTCTTTCACTTTTTGTTTTTCCTTTATTTTGGGGCATGAAAAAATATATTATTTTTTCAAACTTTATTTGGAGATTCTCTATTATGTAGGATAGACATACATAAATTTTCATGGCATTTGTGCCAGCCAAAACAAAGTGAAAAATCGCCAAAGATGGCAGTGTCAAAAACGTGCTGGCCGGCTCAATAATTTCATTCTCGTTTTATTTTTTCTAACTTTCATTATTATTATTTATTTTTAATATTTGATTTTTATTTCAAATTTGGTAAAGAATTTGGATGTAACGTTGAGGCAAATGTTGTTTACATATTTTTTTCCCAGATTTTTTGGAATTGTTTTTTTTTTTTTTTTTTTTTTTTGTTTTTTTTTTTTTTTTTTTGGGGTCAGCGTTCGACCGAACGGCCGAACGCGTCGAGAGGGGGTGCTGAACGTTAGGACGTTCGGCCCGTCCCGAACGCCTGCAACCCTGATTATTATTATTATTATTATTATTATTATTATTATTATTGTTATTATTAAAGAAAGCTATCCCTCACAGGTGATAGTGATGCTGGTTCGGCAATTTCACCTCTAATATATTGGAAGTTGCAAACAAGTGTGTGGAGTGCTTACGACTGGTGAGGACGCTGAAAGTTGTTGAGGTAGACCAGCTGCGGTCGCTGCCTCGTCATTGCCCGAAGCCGTTCAGTTTTCATTGAACTTCATTCCATCCATCAATGACCTCAAGACAAGCACCACATTCATTCATTTTACTGCGGCGAGTCGGCGACGAAGGCGGATGAGAATGAAGGTTTGACTTCCAAGGACGAGGAGTGACACTCCAGCAAACGACGAAACTCCTCATACGAGTGAAATTCCGAGGAACAAAATGCCGAGATTCCGTGGAGCTAAATTCCAAGGAATGAAATACCGACGAATGAAATTCCAAGGAATGAAATCCCGACGAGTGAAATTCCTCACGTAGGTGGAATACCAGACCAGATGTGGCGAGGCACGAAGCAACGTCTTCTCTGTATTAAAAATACTATTAACAATGAAAAAAAAAAAAAACGATGATTCCTGACGTACTTACCAGCACATGTAGAGAACGCAAGTCCAATATGGACCTAACACACCTGAAGCGCACTGCAGACTCAATCTTAAATGAAAATGAAAAAGATGAGAGCATACGGTGGAACGGGTGAAGGAATGAAATCCGGATGAATGAAGTCCTGACAGGAATGAAATCCCGACAGGAATGAAAACCCGAGGAGA